ACAAACAAATTTAAAAAAAAATTGAAGAAAGAAATAAAGGGAAAGAGGAAGAAAGGCAGGAAGGCAGGCAGGCGAGCAAGGCAGGCATTTAATCTGATCTGTGATTACACAGTTGGAATTTCAGCTGTGGAAAGTCAAAGATAGTATGACGTTTAGTATTCCATATTTGTCAAGGTTCTTGACAAAAAATTTTAGTGAATGTGCTGGCCGTTGCTTTTTCCTCCTTGGTCGGTTCAATAGGTGTACTCCCTACATTACATGGATACTGATAGGTGGACTGTAAGTTAATGCACTACTTGCTTTGTTCATCTCCTGCAAAATATGAATTGTAAAACGTCAGTCCCCTCCCTCCTGTGCACAATGGAAGCTTCAAGACATGCTCTACAAACCAACGCTATTCAGTGTTGTCTATGAACTGATACCTTCCAAAGTCCTTTGTTTCCAGTCACCAAAAAGATAAATACAAAAATCAAAAGAGTTAGAAATTCCTTTATAGGAATTGAAAAGAGTAATTTTATGTTCAATTTGGACTTGTATTTTGTATGTCTTTGGATATTTTTTTTATTTCATTTTTGCAGTAATATATTTTAATTGTAGTTTCCAAAAATGTTGCCCACGCTGGATTCATCAAAGAAGAGGAAACACATCCTTCGCTCCAGGTAAGTTGAGAGGCAATGGCCTAGAGCAGCTCTTCTCCCAGTTTGGTATGTGAGTCACCTGGGGATCTTGTGAAAACACAGATTCAGATTCAGTGGGTCTGGGGTAAGGCCTGAGACTCTGCATTTCTAACAGCCTTCCAGGTGATGCCTACACTGCTGTCGCTAAAACGTACCTGACTAGCAAAGACCTAGAGCAATGTGAAAGCTGTCCCAAGCGACACTTTAGTCCACAGAGTTCTGCTGAGTGGCTCCTGCTGAAGTTCTCCTCTATTCCATTATCAAAGCCAGACGTAGTAATTTTGCAGAAATATTTTCTAATATATACTAGGCCCTAATATAATCATTAAATTTTATTTTCCATTAAAAGTAAGATTTTTAAAAATTGCTATATTTCTAATTGCTGGAAAATTGACTGTTTTCTAAAAATGTTCTATTTCTAATACTACTGTATTTCTGAGTTCATAGACCTTAAGAACAAGTATTTCTCAATACCAGCACATCTAAAATGAGCAAAATAAGAAACAGATGTATCCCTTACTGTGAGGAATCAGAGGAGGAAGGGCAGCTCACCTCGGTGGGGCTGGCGTCCCGGGTGAAGATGGGCCAGGTCTTCCAGGACATGTTGTGGCGGTACTGCTGGTGCACGTGTTCTCCCAGCCCATACACGTTGGCACTGGGCAGTCGGAAAGACAGCTGCAAGTACTGCTCGGCGAACTGGAGGGGCCCAATGCTCGTGTCCAGCCTAGGCCGTGGGATAACAGCAAGAGTCACCCAACAACTCTCTTTTCTCTAGGAAGCTATCTGGTACTTTCCATGTACTCTCAAAGATCAGCTCTTTCAGGTGTTATCATCAGTTTTCATGCTACCTCTGAAGGCCTTTCTAGGGCATCTCTGATCCTTTGATTCTAGAGGAACACAGCACTAGTGATGGGACACCAGGAGCTCAGGCTGGATGATGAGAGACAGATGGCAGCCGTGATGTGCATCCACTGCAGGCCAGCCACCGCTCTGGATGCTATATGAGCGGTGTCTCACGGCCCCTAGCAAAAGCGGATTTTTTGATCTCTTTTTATGGACAAGGAAACTGATGCTGATGAATGAGTCACTTTGCCTAGTATCACACAACCGACTGTTGATTTGCTGGTGCGAAGATTTGAATACAGGTTTTACTGACATTCATACTTCTGTTTCCTCCAGTACAATTTGCGATTTAAGCTCAAACTTTTGTTGAGTGCCTGATGTTAAGATTCACAGAAAATAATAATTTGGAATGATAAACAGTGAAGTTTGAGTTCTAGTATGAATGATCATTCAAAACAATAAAATGCCCTATTTTATAATATATATGAACTACAACTATATTTGTAGATATACAATATAGT